CTATCTATCTATCTGTCTGTCTGTCTGGTTATCTATCTATCTATCTATCTATCTATCTGTCTGTCTGTCTGGTTATCTATCTATCTATCTATCTATCTATCTGTCTATATGTCTGTCTGTCTGTCTGGATATCTGTCTGTCTGTCTATCTATCTATCTGTCTGGATATCTGTCTGTCTGTCTATCTATCTATCTGTCTGGATATCTGTCTGTCTGTCTATCTATCTATCTGTCTGGATATCTGTCTGTCTGTCTATCTATCTATCTGTCTGGATATCTGTCTGTCTGTCTATCTATCTATCTGTCTGGATATCTGTCTGTCTGTCTATCTATCTATCTGTCTGGATATCTGTCTGTCTGTCTATCTATCTATCTATCTATCTATCTATCTATCTATCTATCTAAACACATCTGTTAAGGCCCCTGTGAGCCCCTGATTAAGTTCCCAGAAAAAGCATAAACCAAACCAAAGCCAAAAGTATTTATGTTAAAAATTAAACATTCATTTTCCCAAAAAATATTTTATGGTTTTCCGTGTGGTTGAGGGTAAGCTCTTTAGTCTAGACTTGTGGAGCTTGTGTGTCTGTGGTCCGGTCACAACTCATCACAGTCTTTCCTGTGAAAAAATTAAGGAAAATGACTTGAATAATGAAATGACCAGTGCAAGGTCACAATACTGGGATGTTTTGAATCATCCGAGACGTATCAGAAGGGAAGTTTACCAGATTGAGTTTAGAAACAAAGCATGCAGATGCAGGCACACATTGGTTTTTTGTTTTAGTTCTCTTCAAGAATGTCTGTCAGACTCTTCTGGGTGTTATATGAGAGAATATATCATTCGGTCTCCTGCGCTAAAAGAAAAAAGATATGCTTGTGCCACTGAGAGGGTCTCTCAGAGGACTCTCAGTCCACTGTGTTGTATTTTATCTCGCTTTTGAAGTGAAGGAGATTCTTGAAGAAACATTGTGGCACTAAAACTATTGAAGCCGCGTAACTGTTTGCTTTGCAGTGCCATCGATCTGAGTTTTGTAAAAAAAGGAAATCTCAAGCTCTCTACTTCCCTTATTTTCCATGATTTCATTTCCTTGTTGTCTGATTGTAAATAAATGTGTGCATTCATTTCTCCATGGATTTTTTTTTCTGTTTAATTCTTAATTTAGCTGTATTCTGATTGGTCTGGTCTTTGTCATTGTTATTGTTTATTTAACATGGAACGAATAAGGAACTGGTGCCAGTACACAGTACAGAAGACTGTTTCATGCCAGACACAAAATGGGACCGAGACTGTTGTGCAGCGACTGTTTCAGAGTTGCCGATGGCCTGGACCGTGTTCAAACCTCATCAGGTACAAAGAAAAGAAATGATCTCATGGTATACACTGGGTTATACTCCGCTATTCACTCTCACATTAACTTGGACGACAACTAACAGACTCTGTGCGTGTTTTACCTCTCTGTATTTTCCCAGCTACAGAACTCTGGTGAGACCTGTGTACAGAGTGACCTACAGGAAAATCACTTCTCTGGAATGG